GAAAGGAAAGCTAAGTCCTAGGTTCATTGGACCATACCGGATCATTGAACGAGTAGGACTAGTGGCTTACATGTTGGAGTTACCCCTAGAGCTTCAAAAGATACACGACGTATTCCACCTGCCAATGCTAAGAAGATATCGATCAGATCCATCACATGTTTTGCCCGAGGGAGCAGTCACCCTTGACGAGAGCCTCATTTACGAAGAAGACCCCGTACAGATTCTAGTGCATGAAGTAAAGGAGTTGAGGAATAATACAGTCCCTTTGGTCAAGGTACTTTGGCGAAACGACGCGATGGAAGAAGCAATCTGGGAGACCGAAGAATCCATGAGATCTAAGTATCCTCAACTTCTCAGTGATTAATGACTCAGGTAAATTTGAGGATGAAATTATTTTAAGGGGTAGAGAAATGTAATGCCCCAAAACTTGGCCTATCAAAATTAATTAACTAAAAATAGTTAGTTAATTATTGAGATGGGCTCGGTGGAATTATGAAATATTCTTCGTTTGGTAAAAAGGTTTATACCATTATGTAGGATTGGATGGAGCGAATCCAAGGGTGCAAATGGATTCAGATTTGGAGCCTGTGAGCCCAAAAAGTGCGTTATGGGCCAGGTACGTTAAGTTATTACGAAGCCCAAAACCCCAAACCTATAATTAAACACCCTACACGCCTAATCCCTTTCTACGCCACCCCATATTTATGTAAAGTCCCTCCCTCTCTCATTTTCTCTTTCGACCAAAGAACAGAGCAGAAGAATGGAACCAGCAGCGGCGAAGAGAAGGGAAGAAGAAAAGAAGGAAGAATGAAAGAAGATGAGTTCGACATCATTGCTTCTCATCGTTGGTATTATCGTTATAATATAATCGTCGAATTCGAGGTGAGTACATGGACATCTAACATATGGTTATAATCATAGGTCTGAATCTTACGTTTGTAGAGTCGTTACAGTTGAATTATGTGAACCCTGCGTGAGTTATGTTTTGTTTACGCCGTTTATGATTTTAGGAGCATGAATTGGATTTGATAGGTTTTTGAGCATGTTAGATAAGTTTTGAATATGAATATAAAACCTATTGATGGTTGTTAATTGGTGATTGATGTTGGTTTGGTACGGAGCTAGTGAAGAGTAAGGCTTCGTCGCGAACGACGGTAAACAAGTACCGCTGGCACGGTACCAAGATACCGCCTCCTTCACTATTTTCCCTCCTCTCTGTTGGTACCTATCACCAAACGGTACCTCTGTACCGGGCGGATGGTAGGCCCTACCGCCAAGTCGTTACAGGCTACCACGACAGGCCTACCGGAGGGGAGTTACACCTGTGACGGACTGTACCCATGTATCGTGGGACGGTACCCTATTACCATGGGGCCAGTACCCCCTACCGTTGAGGGTACCGTGAGGTACCTGAACCGGTAAAAATTCTGTAGTTTCGTCTAGGATCGATTCTGAGACTTTATGTGTTGCATGACGGTAAACATGAGTGTCGACACCCAATGTTAGGCTATTGTTTGAGTACATTGGTTATGTCATTGTATGATGCATTATTAATGGATAATGAACGAATTACCTAGAAGAACACTAGGGACTGACCTAAATGAAATAGTGGCAAGATATGCCATAAGTTTATAAGTTAGAGTCATGTGGTACCTCTTGGGTCCAATGGCTGTTTGGGTAAAAACGTCTGCACGGAGATCTATGAATTGTCATTCCGAAGGGGACAAGGATCTCACCCACCCAACGAGGAACTCTTGAGTTGGTATGAGATTGACCTTCATTCCGAAGGGGAGGGGCATGACTCCCCTAAGCAAGTCAAAATCAGTTAAGCTTTAACCTGGAATAGGTTAAGAGCCAAGTACGATAAAGAAAGTAAAGTAACTAAAAAGGAAAGTACATAACTCTTGTATCATTGTTGATTGTATCTTGTGAACTGTTATAACGTTGATAAGCATGTTATATTTTGTGCACTGTTATGATTATTGATATGCATGTTGCATGCATGATATCTTATGATGATATCAGCTAGTGGGATCATCTATGGGTGTAGGTATATGTTAAATATTTCTCACTTAACTTCAATGTTGAGCGTGTAGCATTTGTTTCTTTGCTGCACGTAGGTAATCCAAGGAATGAGGAACTTGGAGTCAATCCCGCAGGGGCGTGAGGATGCAGAGAGGTGTGTGGTGGTGCTTGATGATTTTCAGTTGTTATTTATTATTTTAATTAACTTATTACTTTTACGGGCATTATACCCAAGTTGTGTTTTGAATTATGAATTGAGCTTCCGCACCTGTTTTGAATATTATTCCGATGAATGTAAAACTATATTTTGAAATGTTTACTTGAATTATTTTGAAAATTTAGTCGTGTTTGGATACCAATTTTGTAACAACCCGATTTTCTAATCCGAGTATTCGAGTTACGCAGGTTGGGGTGTTACACTCAAATCTAGCATTCTAGATGACAGACTCAGTCAGATGCATTTCTACACAGCAGCCCACTAATCTTTTTTCTTTATTGCAGTTGAAGACCTCTAGTTTCCAGACCAGGTGGCTGCTACTAAGCATATATTAAGTAGAAATTTACATAAATAGGACTGAAACATAATGACTTTCCCAATATAGGACCATATGTTTTTATTTCCCAATGTAGGACCTTTGGTCATTATGAACTAGTCATTATACAAGTAAATATATATCCATATTTACTGGATATTATTCCTCCCACTAGACATTATTAAGTCCTATTTTAGGAATAAAAAAATTTAAGTCCTACATTGGAAAATAACTTATATTTTAGTCTCATTTAGTGCAATTTAAATTTCACTATATTAAGTGGCCAATTTCAATTATTATGTCTGTTGCTATTTGTGTCCAAATGTTTAGCACTTTTCTTTGAACACTTGTACTCTTCATTTGGTTTATTACTTGGCAGTTATGTAAGGTTTAGGCCACCCCCAGCTGTATACTTTTTCGTTATTATCAATAAACACTTTTTTATACATCATTAATGTTTACACATTAGATTTATCATACAATCTCTAAGTGCTCCTGTTTAAAATTTGTTAAGGAATACACATCGGATGAATATAACTTTTCCCATCACAAAATATTGTTTTCTATGCAACCGATGAGAAAGCTCTCATGTTTACACAATAGATATTTACCCATTGGGTAAGGTTTACACAGTGGATATTTACGCGATGTGTAAGGTTTACAAAACGGACATTTCTTCGATGGGTAAACATAAGAGCTTTCCCATCACTTGCATGGACAACGTCTCGATCTTTTGCGATGGAAAAAGCCATATTTATCCTCCGTGTAAAGTCTTTTATGTAGTAGTGTATTCACGTATATTGAATACCTCGGATTTTTAAAGACTTGAAAATTTGGGTAGAATACACCCATATTTTGAAAGTTCAAAAAAAATCCTACACACTCCCAATTGAATACACCCGATAAGTGTACATAGTATTTCGTAAATTAATATAATAAATAAAATTTCAAATAATTTTCTGAAAGATAAATCTAATGCAACGATTTTTGTAATTATGTCCAATACCATTTTTGTTTAATTGATAATCAAAGAAGATTCTCTCTACCCCTCCTCCCTTAAGGCTCTGTTTCGTTCAACTTATTTTTTCTGATCTGTTCTGATTTTTTGTAGATCTGATTTGATCTGATCTGATCTGATTGGATCTGATCAGGTCTGATCTGATTACATCTGATCTGATCTGATTGGATCTGATCTGATTAATTATGATTTGATTTAAAATTTAAATCAATAATGGATTTGAGTTTATAATAACGTTTGAAAATTGTAATGATAATTCATATTATAATATAATCAATATTTTTTATTTTATAATTATTTTTTAATAAAATAAAATGAGTTAATTTATATATTAGAATAATCATTCATATTTTAATGTAATAATATTTTTTATTTTATGATTATTGTTTGTGAAATAAGAATATTGATTTAATATTTTAATAATTAGTATTTTAAAAGTAATTTTTTGACGTCTAATAATTAACGACTAATTTCTCAGTTTTCTATTTAACTTGTTTCTAAAGTTTATTCTTTTTCATTTTTAAGAAGAAGAATAATAATAATAATAATAATAATAATAACAACAACAACAACAACAACAATAATAATTCTTTATGGGATCTTATCTGATCTGGTCTAGTCTGATCTGATTGGATCTAATCTGATCTGATTAGATCTGATCTGATCTGATCTGATTTGTTCTAATCTGATCTGATCTGATCTGATTCGATCTGATCTGATATGGTCTGATCTGATCTGATTTTAATAAGAATAAGAAAAAATGAAAAAAAATAAGTTAAACGGAACATGGCCTAAATTTCTAGTAACTTTTGTTTCCATATGTGTTTACATACAAAATAAAATGATAGGTATATAAGTTGTGCCGAGTACATTTTATCTCTCTCTTTGTTTGTACTCTTTCGTTCAAGAAAACTCTTCCTAATCATTTTTATTATGTACAAACCTTCTTCTTTCTTAAAATAGTTTTATTTACAAATTGGTATAAAAGTAAGAAGTAAAATTTGCATATTCAAAAAGTACATAATTTCTAATAAATAAGTAACAAGAATATTTTATTTTATCAATTAACTAATAAAACTACATACAATCAGAAGTTATCGAGTACCTCAAATAATTAATAGAACGGATTTTAATGAATGGATCGGAGAGAGTAAATGAAATTATTTTAAGAATACGAGTATTTCAAAGAGAACATATTTTTTGAATGTTTTTTATTCTATTACAAGATTGTATTTGTTCATATTATTTTCAACATAATGACGCACAAAAAATCAATATTTTACCTTTGATAGGGCTGGAAATAGATAAACTTCTCCATGAATATTGGAGAATGAGTTTTCCACCGCTTAAGCCAGAAAAAAGTTTAAAGAAAAGGAAGATTAAAGAGGGTAGTAATTTAAAAATCATATCGAGATATCTTGGACCGAAACTTTGGCATCATTTTGTCTCCACCAAAAAGAAATCCGCCGAGAATCCAAAGACCACGTCTAATGGACTTTTACGGTCTGAGCTTTCCCTCCAATTATAAGCTACGCTCCAATTAAAAACAGTAACAAAGAAGCAAACAAAAGAAAAAGATGGGGAATTGCGTGTTCGGAGGAGCAGCCGGCGGAGATGCGGGGAACGGGGACGTCGTTAGGGTGATGACATCCACCAACGGCGTCATGGAGTTTTACGCGCCAGTCACGGTGGAGTCCATCGCCGACGAGTTTCCCGGCCACGGCATCTTCCGGCGACACGACCTGTTCTGGAATCCATTGCCGCACCACGAAGTTCTGGCTCCCCGGAATTCCTATTACCTCCTCCCGCTCGACAAGACCCACGTAGGGCCGCACCCGAAACAGGAGGAGCTTTCTGTTGCTTCCTACAGAATGTCGTTCGGCAGGCGCCGGGGGATACTACTCAAGAACTCCAACTCCGGCGGCGCGTCGTCGATCTCCGGCGGGAAAGGGCGACGGGAGGGCGGATTGGGGTGCAGTCTATTTTGGAAAGTGAAGCTAGTGATCAGCCGCAAACAGTTGTTGGAGATTCTGTCGCAAGAGTCCGCCACTGAGGAGCTGATCGAGAGCGTGAGGACGGTCGCTAAATGCGGGAAGGGCGGCGGTGGGCCTGGAGTTTCTTCCTCCGTGGCGGCGTTCTCCGACCAATGGAGTCTCTCCAGTAGTAGAAATGCTTCCTCTAAGAAAGATTATTGTTCATCTTTGCAAGCTAAAACATAGATCCAATATGTTGTTCCACAAATGCAAAGTCAGATTAAGCTTTTGACGCCATGTTTGATAACCCATCCTGTTTCATTCACAGAGTTTTATCGCACCCATACGTCATATGCTTTGTTAAATGTGTATAGTTGTCATATTTCAACATAACGTCCACCGGCCATGGGAAGACAGAAAATGGAATGTCACACGTTGACGTGGAACATTTCAACTAATAAAAAATAGTCTAGTCATCATGTGACAAGAGAGTGGAGTGACATGCATTACAGTGGCAAGTCATTATCTTTGTCACTTTTTTACATTTTTATGTATTTAATTATTAAATTTTTTTCATAAAAATAATTCTACTTTGTTTATACTCCCTCCGTTCCCAAAAATGATGTGGAGTATTTACTATTTTTGATTTTTGATAATATTTTTTATGCTTAGCTTTTTCATGGTATATTTAATAAAATAAATTTTCTTATCGCTGTTTATTTTGTAAAAAAATTGTTATAATTTTTAAACACGTACGGTGCTATTAATAATTTTTTTCTTACTAATTTGTATATATAAAATTAATTTAAAAAAGATAATATCACATTATTCAAAAGAGAACAAATACTTAGGGATTAAGTTATGAATGAAAAAAAAAGAGAAAAAGAAAAAAAAGAGTGTCATTGCCTCGCACATGGCTTGCAATATATGCGTGTCATATTTCATTTGCCATGGTGAGGGCAGGGCATGGGAGGATGATGTGGCAGGGCGAGAATGCAAAATTATGCTTCATGAATGTTTTCACATCAAAATGTGTCAACGAATGATCTTGATCTTACCAAATATTGTGTCCCTCGATCAAAGCATCAATTGTAAATAGATTATGCTATAAATACCCATCACCTTATCTTTTTCAAATGTATTGTGAAAATAATAAATTAAAAAAATTGGCCATTCTATTAATAGATACTCCCTCCGTTCCACAAAACCCTTCCGGTTTTGACTTTGGAAAAAAATAAGGAAAGTTTAATTTTGGTTGATTTTCCAATTTTGCCCCTGATGTGATGGGAAAAAGTAAGATGTGATAGTTTTGTTATTAGTGAAAAAGTATGATGTGATAGGTAAGGTATGAAAAAGTAGGGGTAAAAGTGTTTTTTTAATAGAAAGTGAAAGTATTTTGTGGAAAACAAAAAAACGAAAGAGAAAGGGTTTTGTGGAACGGAGGGAGTACTATATATTCTTTTTTAACTTGCAGATGTTAGTTTTGTTGAAATTCATAAAAGAATGCATTAAAGATACTGAGCTTTATACTAAAGCAATTCCAAACTGATGATATTATGTTTACCAAACGATGGTTTCACTTTCATGTAGTCTCACCTTGGTTGTCATTAACATGATAGTTGTTCAGATTTATAGGCTCAGTTATTAGGAACTATAATTAAATTAGGATACTTCTATCCTTTCCTACTAGGATTATTCTTTCATTTCCTACTTTTACTTTGATTACTCTTGTATTCCCTATATATAGGGCCATATCTCTCAATATTCAATAAGACAAGTTATTATCAAATTGTATCATGGTATCAGAGCTAAGGCTCTCAAAAACCTAGCCTCTCTTTTTTTCCGACCGCCGCCCACCATGGCAGCCCCGTCGGATCCTTTGGCGTCCTTACCCTCCGGAGTAAAACTTTTGCTTCAGAGTCTCCACAACTTAATCCCAGAAAAACTCACCAAAACAAATTATCCGGCATGGTCTCTCAATGTCCAGACAGCTCTTTCAGCTAATCTCCTCCTTGGATGGATTGATGGTCATGAAGCAGCCCCGGCGCCAACTATCTCCAAAAACGATAAAACCGTCCCTAATCCAGAGTATACCTCCTGGACCATCGTTGACACACAGATCCGCGCCTGCCTCCTAGCGGTCATCAGCCCCTCTGTTCACAAACATGCTCGCGGCTTCACCACATCTGCTGCCCTCTGGGATGCTTTGGCCGCACGGTACAACTCCGTGTCCACCGCTCATGTTTATCAGCTTCGGGACAAACTCCACACTCTTCGTAAAGGTACCAAAACTATGACACAATACCTTGATGATGTGGCAACTATTCTCTCGGATCTCGATGCCTTGAAAGAAGAGATCCCTGAACGTGATGTGGTGAATGCTGTTATTCGTGGTCTTCCCACCGAATACTCATCCTTTAAGCAAAACATTCGCATGAACAATACCAATATTTCGTTAAATCAGCTTTCTGGATGGCTGATCTCCGAAGAAATAAACCTGGAGATGGAGAATAAACTCA